GGCCGGCCCCAGGTTTAATTTTTTTTAAATAAAATATTATAAACAAATATTTTGAGAAGTCAAAAAAAGCCAAAATAAATGGAAGGATATACCATTTAAATAGATTGGAATATACAATATAATAAATAATAATTCCTACGAAACTTGATCCAATAAAGTCAATGTAATTCTAATCAATATCTCAACAGGTTTACTTTTTTTGGTAAAAGTTGACAAGCTAATTCTAAAATATCATTACAAAGAGCCAGGTATAACTAAGACAATCTTGAAAAGGAACAAAGTTGAGGTTTTTACTTTATTGGAAATAAAGATTTATCATAAATCTACGTGAATTTATATGGTGTAGTACTGGCACATGTCTAGATAAATAGATTAAGGGAATGGAACGGATGACACAGAAACAATCCACACATGTACAGATGCTTACTGGTGACACAGATGGCACTGCACATCAGTGAGGGAAGGACAAACGTTTCAAAAAATGGTTTAAGTTCAATTTGATATCCACATGGAAAAAAAAATGAAATATGACCCCTACCTCACACAGAGTACAAATACAAACTTCAGGTGTGCTGTAGATCTAAATGTAAGAGAAAAAAAAAAAAACCTAGAAAGTAACAAAAGGAAATATCTTAATGACCTTGGATAGGGGAAGACTTTTTAACAGAACACAAAAAGACACTAACCAAAAAAGAAAAGACTAAACATTGAACTACATTAAAATTAAGAATTATTACTCAAAGAATGCCATTTTGAGAGTAAAAAGGCAAGTGATGAACTAAGAAAATAAATTTCTAGAACATAACATCAACAAAGAGCTTGTATCCAGACCATTGAATAAAGTATAGATCAGTAAGAAAAGAAAATCCAATAGGAAAGAAATAAAAATAGGAAAGAGATTTTAAGGTATATCACACAAGAGGACATCCATATGGCCAATGAATACAAAAATTAGGAAATATGAATTAGGTAAATGTAAATTAAAACCATAATGGGATACTACTATGCACACTCACAAAATTGGCAAAAATTTAAAGAGAGAAACAATACCAAATTTTGGATAGGATATGAGGCAATTGGAATCTTCCTACAATGCTCGTATGAATTAAATTAATACAATAACTTGGAAAGCTGTTTGGAATTCTCCAGAAATTCCACAACTCTGGTTAGTCAAAGAAATGCATTTGCATATAAATATACATCTATGCATATACACGTGTGTGTGGGCAAAAAAATGCATGTATAAGAATGCAAGAATGTTCATAGAAACATTATTTTTAACAGCCTAAACAAAGTCCATCAGCATTAGAATCAATTAATTATGGCAAAGTCACTTATGGAAAACTATACACCAGTGAAAATTAACTGAGGCTACATGCAAACTATGTATGAAACTCAATATACTGCTGAAGGAAAGGAAAGAAGCAATTACACAAAAACAAAACATACTGTATAACTCAGTTTATTTTAATTCAAAGAGAAGCACAAATAACCCATGGTGTTACAAGTCAGGAACGCTGTAAGTGTGTAGTGACTGCGTAGGGCATGATAGAAAAAGGTAGAGAGGAAGAGGTCTGGTGACATTCTAGTTCTTGACTTGTGTGGTGGCTGCACAAGAGGGTTCACTGTGATAATTCATTCCAGCTCTATACTTATGATTTGTGTAGTTTTCTGTATGTTTTACTTTGATAAGAATGTTTAGAGTGAAAAAAAATGTTTCTATTCAATTTTTGTTCCCGTTGTAGTTTAGAAAGAATAAGAGACAATGGTTTTGCTGTGTTGTTGATGTTGTTTAGAAATTACTTTCAATTTTTATAGAGAGAAATAAACTGTTAGCAGGTAAAACTAAAATTCTTGAATCATTCTGTCCTCTGCAAGGAATGTCAACACTGGGACCACGTGTCACTAGATTACATATGACACAACTGGGGTCCAATCACCTGGAAGTCACATTCTTTTCATACCTGCGTTTCTGGCTGTGGATCCTAACTTCTTTAATTACAGTAAATGTGTCAGTAACTTCTCCATCTGTGAAGACAAAAAGCTGTGCAAAGAAAGAAAACCTTCATCAAGCCGCTGTCAAGTTCATTTTAAGATACCAGAATTTGTCCTTGAAAAACAACCATTTTATTCCAGAGACTCTGATGCCTCCTCAGACAGGTGTGAGATCCCCAGTGCTCCATGGTCACCTGTGCTGCATTCTCACCTGGTCTGTTCAGAACCCTGGGGATCTTCAGCACCTCCTGCTCCTAGCTTCATCTAAGGCTTTTGTGTCATATCACAAAAAGTCTTCCATTGTCTATCACATGGAGTTAAGCAAGAAGAAAAATAGCTCTTGTCTTTTTTTCTCTTTACTGTGTGATAGAAGACTCTGAATTACATGCCACATTTCAACAATCCTGCAAGGAAGCTTAGAGGAATAGATTCTTGAAGAGAGATTCCACCCTGTCTGTCCCTTCTGTTAGCTCTGTTCCAATTCTTACCTGTAGGGGGTGGCCTGGGATGCAGGGTCCCCTGCAGATGTTCTGGAGTGGTGTCAAGATTTCAGTGCCCCCCAGGTCTGCTTCCATAAGCTGAACTCTCCTCAGTGCCTCCTCCATGGTGTGCTGTGTGTACTTCACACTCTCCCTGAGAAAAACCAGCACACCCAGTTCCATGACGCCTGCTCAACACCACCCAGTGCTGAGCCCCTGAACTGAGATACCCCCATCAGAAAACAATCTTACCTGAAGTCCCCAGTACCAAAGTCAATTCTGCAGTAACCCCTTTATGCTTTTAGTCCCTTTCTTTAAAGTATCTTTTTGGACTTCCTATGGCCTTTCTAGAAACTTACTGAAAGAATGCCTCATAGGAAGATCCAAATCCATAGATGTTAAAATAGCAGCCCATAGGCAAACTCTTCAGCAGCAAAATCAGTGTTTCCTGAGGATGAGATAGTATGAGGAGACAGAGTGAGAGAGGATTCTCTCAGACACACAGACCCCGACAAACTAACTCTTGAGGGTGTGGGCCACCACCCACTTTGTGACTACTTATGTCCAAGGCTGGTCTCAGAGCGATCACGCTAGCTGCCACTCAGATGGGCAACAGACCCGCAGTTCCAAAGGGACCTAATCTATCCACTCGGATTCATCCTCACTTGAGCGTGTGACCCAGAAAAAAGACGGAAAAAAGAAACCAGTTTTACCTTGGCGGCTTCTATGCGCAGCTGAGACCTATCTTGTCTACTCATGGGGCTCTGCATACTTCCTGAGCGGTCCATGAGGAAGATAAATTCTCTACAGGTAATTGGTGGCTGAGCTTCTGGAATATTTGGATAGAAACTCACCATTGCACATGGATCTCCCATCAAACAATCTACACAGAAAGGATAAGGATATTGTAAGACAAAAAGAAACTCAAGAATTCAAAAGTCCCCAAGAATCAATTGTAGTGAGTTCAATAGGGAGCTAAGAAAAATATAAAACACGGAGTTTAATCTTAATACTATATCTGCTTGCAAAGGGTTTGATGTGAGTTATAAATACGCATAAGAAAGAGGCAGAGCAAAAAAGGTATGAAAGAGAAGAAAGAGGATAGAGGTTAGCAGGCATAAGCTACAATTAAAATAGTGTCACCGGATGCTAGTTTCCTGGCACGTAGGCCAATGAGTGAGACACGTTAGGTTAACATGCTCCAGCATTTGCCAAAAGAATGAGATAAATTTATCTGCAGAGACAAATCTTCTCTTCAAATCAAATCAGTGGGAAAGTTATCACATGGTTCCTTGTTTAAGTTGTTAATTACCTTGAAAAAGTGATGTTCATATGGGCGATTCTTAAGTAGACAATTTACAAGAGTTGAGAGTACAATAAGCGTTATCCACACGAGCTAAGTCTGTCTGCTCTGCATGTGAAGAACTCACAGATACTCCCCAGAAGAAAGGGACTCTAACAGTGCGTCATCCAGACAGTGGGGTGGGTGACACCAACCACGGGAGCCTCGCCGGTGTGGCTGTGCTGTCAGAGCAATAGCTGTGGTTTTATTTTTAGGAGCGAAAGCTGATGCAGGAATTGAAACGCAAGAATTGATAGAGATGAAACGAGAATGGCCGGGTTACAGCAGCTAGTGGGGTGGGTGACACCAACCACGGGAGCCTCGCCGGTGTGGCTGTGCTGTCAGAGCAATATCTGTGGTTTTATTTTTAGGAGCGAAAGCTGATGCAGGAATTGAAACACAAGAATTGATAGAGATGAAACGAGAATGGCCGGGTTACAGCAGCCCTGGTTTTATAGTGCAGAGCATATAAGAGGATGTGGAATTAAATTCTACTATCCTATTTTTGTAAAATGACTCCAGATTATAGGATAACATTTACAGCAGCCCTGGCATTCAGGATGACCACAGGACCTGGCTCAGTTTCATCTTTTTCCCATGGAATCCCCCAAGAGCCAAAGCGACTCCTAAATAAAATGGGTGTCACCCAGCAAATATTTGACAAAACACGAATTCAAAAACAACATTTACACAATCCAGATCCCTGGATATACAATGAAAGAGTCACAGAGTCTTTTGACGGGCCAGGTACATTGCTTTCCATCCTGAGAGACGGCTGGTTAGACTGGAGCTGCCACTGTGCTGAGAAGTTGGAAAGGCTCAGGAGTGTGCTGTGACCCACCACACCTAACTGTTTCACAGAGTGACGTGCACAGAGTAGGCCGTGCACGTGTGCTGTCTACTTTAGTTCGTTTGGCTTGGCTCAAATTATGTTCACCTCCACACGTCTCAGCATCCTCATTCTTAAATGAAGTGTTTCAAACCTTAGCTCCTCTGCTGCTAATTTAGTTTCCTCTTCTGAAGAACTGAGGTAGTAACATCTACCTCAAGTTTATTTTAAGGGTTGAATGATATAATACACTTAAGGAACTCATCTAGGGATCAACTGAGATCAAGTTGTTAATAATTTTATAAAATTATTTCTAAATTTTAATTTTATACAATTATTTTATTAAATCATAAATTCAATTTAAAAAAGACATCATGTTCTTGATATAGTAAGTACATCCATTCTAAGTTTTTAAAAAATAACATGTTACCATTAGATAGTGCCATGCTTCATGTAGCAGGACTCTAAATGGTTTTAGGGTTCCACTTAAGGTTGCCATTTGCTTCTCCGTGTGGATGAGAAGAGCAAGTCATCTGGACCAGATACGTGACTTGGGAAGCAAGACTTGAGTGGCCCTGCTGGACAGGACTTCCAGGGCTGAGGAAGGTTTTCCCCACATTCCCCTGCAGAGCTGGTCAGGGGGAACAGATGAGGAAAGCTGCATAGGGGCCAAGGGAACTTCTTAGAAGGAAAGAGACTAAGATCTCACCCCTACCTTTTGAGATCCAACATTATGAAATGTTCTCTGATGGATTAAAATAACCCTGACTGAAGACCAGGTCACTGTTGTGGGAGCATTTGATGGGCACCCAAGAGGAAACTTACCAACATGAAAGGACAAAACAGATAATTAATGTACAAAGACGAAGCAAGGAGTTTCATGGAAGAGGAGCTGGTTACAGCAACCCTGGCTGGGGCTGGGAGCCCCTATATGACCTTAGCATGGACAGTAAGCCCTAAGGAAAAATGGTTGAGCAAGTGAGGGAAAAGTAAAGAGTTCTAATTTGTGAGCTCAAGTATGAAGCTACCTGGACCAAATGTTACCAATGAGAAAGTGGGATGGCCTATTGACAACCAGCTACAGGGAACCGTCCTCACAGCAGCCATAGCTGTAGAAGCAGGAGCCTAACCCTAGCCTAGCACTTTGAATATGACCATCCCCAAGGACACGTCCATTTCCCCCAATGTGGAAAGTGCTTCAGAAGTGGCAGCATCCTTCCCGTCAGGCTTCACGGCCCCTGCAGTACAGAGGCATGGCAGCCAGGAAGGCCCCGAGAGAGCCACAGACAGACGTAGGTTACACCACTTATAATTACAAGGAAAAGTACATACATGTTACAGAAAACTTAGAACATA